GGGGAGAGAAAGGGGAGAAGGGCCAGGAAGGAAAGGGGGGTAGGGGGCTATCACACAATCAAGGAGATAGATCGAGGATCTACCAACATACCCATCAAGTCCTGCCAGCTGTAGAAGACCCCTCACCCTTACTTGTATTCAGCCCAACACCAAGCCCTGGTCCCGAAGCACCTGCTCCACTGGTTTCCAGCCCTGAATGTTGACTTTGTGTGGTCTTCCCAGTCTGACTACTACTCCTAGACAGCTTGACCAAATTTGCAAAAGGGTCATTGAATGGCTTGCTCTCCTGGTTCTGCACAACAGCTTGCTGGGGCACCATCGGCGCCCCTCCCATCGACTGTCCCTGAGGCTGCGCGCCACCCTGTCCTGTACGGTCCAACAGCGCTAGGCTCCGGGTTTTACTAAGCAAGTCATACTGGTCATCCATACCCATCATCCCAGGGTAGGCCGACTGCTGTGGAGACATCCCCATCGTCCCACCAAACGTTGCGCGCCTCTGATGAAAGCTTGGGTGCTGCTGCAGTTGTGGCACTGCACCGGTCCCATACAATAAAGTCTGCTGCACTTGACTCAGCGCATGACCGCTCGGTCCCGTAGCCGCAACTCCCTGCGCCGCAGTCCATGGGGTCAGCTGCTGCTGTTGGGGTATATTAGGGTGCGCAAGCTGTTGAGGTTGGAGAGCTTGAGCAGCTGCCGCCGATTTGCCATTCCCGTAGAGCATCACACGACGTGTAGGACTCATCAAAACTCCCGAGCCAGGTGCCGCCCACGGCACGACATAACCCGGCAGAACTTGTTGTTGAATAGGCATCTGCTGTGGAGGGGTTTGTTGCCCAGGGATAATCCCCCCATTTATTGAACCCACAATAGGGTTGCCAGCTTGGGCTCCTGGAGAACTGCCATTCGCTACAAATGGCCGGGTCTGTTGCTGCTGCGGAGAGGGCACGCCTGCCAACCCAGGACTCCCAGCTGCAGTGCCAGGTGCTGGTAATGCTAGGAACGGATTTGTACCTGCCGGTTGAGGCTGCAACGTGATAGGCGACGGTGCCGAGAGCTTATAAAGACCACCATGAGCGTCCGGGCCCGCTGCCAAGCTTGTGGGCGAAGTTGGAAGACCCTTTGAGGGGTCAGGCTTGTCAGATGGGGGCTTAACATATAGTGGATCGCCACTCAGGAGATCCACAGTCTGTTCCCGACCACCTAATCGCCTGCCCGCTTGAGGCGGAGGTGGCAGAGCCATACGACTACTGCCAGGTGGCGGTGGAAGAGCAAGCCTGCTGGCAACTGCATTATCCGTTGAAGGGCTTGGCTTCGACTCCTGTTGTGAGCTCGATCTGCTTCGCCTTTCCCTTCTATGAGGAGGACAACACCAGATGATGAACAACATGAAATCCACATAAGCATACAACATTTGACAGGTTTCAAGGCGAAGCACTTCAACGCCATTGTGAAGCCCACAGTCCAAACAGTGCCAGAGTGTGAAAGCCACAGGGGGATAGAGGACACAGTACCACACCTCCGTACAGAGAGGAGCGAGGCGCTCCAAACATCCAGGGATCAAATCATCAAACAGATGCAAACCAAGCGTCAGCATGCTAACAACTTCTGAACCTACACTTGTTATGGATGGACACTTTCTGTTCTCAGGCACACATGGAATCGGACCCACACCCTTGGTCACAAGAGCCAAGTCTCTTAACCACCCGGTCTTTAAAAGTGGAACCATACCGGTCTTTAAAAGTGGAACCATACCGGTCGTGATATCCACCCCACCCCTGCAAGGCCGTAGCGTCCTACTCACACACGTTTACACGCAACTCCACACAGACATCGCAATTCTCGCACACTTCGCTCCAATCCAGCTAGTGACCCTCCCTGCTCCAGATACGGCCATATTACAGCGCTCACAGAAGCCTAAACGAAGCCCACACATCGTCAGGGTCCTTTGGACCTCCTGGTTTAAAGGCGAGGACTGTTCTCTAGACCTCCTGGTTTAAAGTTGAGGACTATCCTCCATTCCCATACACACTAGACGGCAATTGGAAGACAGCAGGTTAGGAACTCTCCAGAATCCTGACAGTCTAAATGACCAGTGCGTCTGGGCATTGTTTTTCTGACATGATTCCCCTGTGCGCCAAGCTTCACCGAAGCGCCAATGCAGTGTTCTTTTTTGCTGCAACGGTTCGGCAGGAAGTGGTGTGGAAGACAACAGGTTGGGAACTCTCCAGAATCCTGGCAGTCGAAACGACCAGTGTGTCCGGACATTGTTTTTCTGACATGATTCCCCCTCTTTTTTTCTGACACGGTTCGGCAGGAAGTGGTTCAGAAAGAATTGGTGTGCGGCAAACATCCATTTTGGAAAAAAGAGGCTCGAATGGGCGGGTGGTTTTAAGCCACCACTACCTCTGATACTGTTTTTGCCAAGCCTGATTTTCACTGCGCACCAAGTTTTGCCGAGCCTGGGTCCCATCGTATTTTCTTTTCTGGTACTCATGGCAGCTACATCCAAAAGAGAACCCAAAAAAAAAAAAAAAAAAGGGAGGAAAAACACACAAACTTCCCTAACGGCGTCGTAGCCATCAGATACATTCGACGACCCTCTATCGGCAATGCTCTTGAGTCGCATGACAAATTTCTCAAGCTCATGAAGTACCACATTGGATAGAAGACGGCCGAAGGGCCGACCAATGTGTGGTCGTCTTTCGAAAAAGCGACCGACCGTATAAGAGGCCGCTTTCTCTTATACAGGTGCCTTCGCACTAGAGTCAAGAATCTATCATCTTATGAGGTGCTGGTGAGACTGTCCCTCAGCGAGGGAGTCTGCCCTTCTGGAAAACAAATGATGAGCCAAAGAAAAAAAAAAGCTTCCCTTATGCTGCCATCGCGGTCCGATACAGAACGCCACAGTGCCGATGTGAGTATGTTGTGAGTGAGGCAGTTAGCTGGCCCCATGGAATCCGCCCTGCCTCACTGGCAGGGAACAAAAAAGAAACGAAAACAAGAAAAGCAAAAACGGAAACATAAGCAATCATGTTCCACACATTCTGGCCGGATGCATTCCTCAAAGCACTGGTGTCACGTCCACCTCCGTGAGGACCTTCCACCATAAAAGCAAATGAAGAAAAAAAATTCGGAAAAAAGAAAAACAAAACTTCCCTTATGCTGTGATCGCGATCCGATACAGAAGCTACAGTGCTGTTGTGAGTACGACACGATTGAGGCAGCTAGGTGGCCCCCGTGGAAACCGCCCTGCCTCACTGGCAGGGAACGAAAAGGAAAAAAGCGAAAACATGACAAATCACATTCCTCACATACTTAGCCAGATACATTCCTCAAAGCACTGGTGTGACTTCCGCCTCTTCTTTCGTACCAACCCTACGCCGGACGCCCAAGCTTTTCGGATGAGGTCATTTTCCCAAATGGGACTACAGCTTGGAAAGGTAATGGTGGTCTAAGAAAAGAAAATGTACTTTTTAAAAGTTTTTTTGTTTCTATATCCTCGAGGCCCGACTTACAGTGTTGGGAGAGTGCTCGGGATAAAGGGGGCGCGGGCCCAGCAGAAACCGGCAGTTGAGCCACGGGCTTTTTTTTCCGCACCTCTACTCATGCATCTCTGCCGTTTTTTTTCCCCCTTTCTCGTGCACGGGGTTTGGCACGGTGATGCGCCTGGGAAGTACTGCAGTGTAACACAACAGAGAGGCCGAAGGGTCCCGAGTGTTCTGTCGTGGGGGTGGCGGGTTTAGGGTTCGATAGGGCTGTAGGTTCCACGCGTGGTTGCGTTCATACTGGCTCGGATGATGAAAAACAGGGCAAGAAGGGGGAACACAACAAGCGGGAGGAGGTGAATGGCGAACAGGAGGAAGAGTGGCAAGAGGAGCGATGAGCGCGAGGTGGCAGGAGAGCCATGGGGAGAGGGAAAACTAGTAGGCAGGAAGAGCTCGATGGGGAGGGGGAAGACTAGTAGGAGGAGGACGAGCAGCAGACATGAAAGTTGATGAAACACAAAAAGTATGCCCGTATACCTCTCCATATTCCACGGGAAGATGCGTTCAGGAAGGGGGAGGGGTCTAGTATTTTTTTCAGCCGTACATGCCTGTACCGGCCTATGTTCTGGCAGAGGATTCATTCTCATTTTGCATCTTTGGTGAGCAGACCCGCAACAACATTTCCGTAGCTCTCTCTCTCCCTCTCTCCCTCTCTCTCTCTCTCTATCCAGTCTCCTTTTCCCCATCTGCCTACCCCGCACTGACATTTCCGTAGAGAATCCTGATCCCTTTCTGCTGCAGAATCCGCAGATTTGTATTGGTGTCCCGATCCCGATCCTCTCTCCGTTTCCCCATCCTCAAGTCCCGCATCGACCTCTCTCTCTCTCTCTCTCTCTCTCTCTCTCTCTCTCTCTCTCTCTCTCTCTCTCTCTCTCTCTCTCTCTCTCTCTCTGTGGCTCCAGTCTCCTTTCCCCCATCTGCCAATCCCGCACCGACATTTCTGTAGCGATCCCAACTCTCTCTCTCTCTCTCTCTCTCTCTCTCTCTCTCTCTCTCTCTTGTGCGCGTGCGGGCGGAAGTTGCATGGGCGCGAGAGGGGGAGGAGGAGAGGAGAACGAAGAACAGGAAGCCAACAAAATATGCCCATGTACCTCCCCATGTTCCTGCCGAAGATTCACTCCATTTTGCACGGAAGGAGGGGCGGCGTGACAAGTGGGAGGAGGGGAAGGCGGAGAACGGCAAGGACCACAAGCAGTAAGACAAAGAAAAAATAGCCGTGTATGTTCCATGGCAAGATTCATTCCATTTTGTACGGGAAAATGGGCGGGATGATGAGCGGGAGGAGGGGAAGAAGGGGGGTGGGGAGGACGACAAACAGGAAAACAAAAAGATAGGGTCGTGTATCTACCCATGTTCCAGGGGAAGATTCATTCCGTTTTGCATGGGAGGAGCGGGAGGAGGGGTCTGATGACGAGTGGGAGGAGGGGAAGGAGGGCAAGGGGAAGGATGCGAGTGGGAGGAAGTGCACGATGAACAGGAGGAAGGGTGGCAGGAGGAGCGATATAAGGAGGGGCGGGATGACGAGGAGAGGAGGAGAGGAAAGAGGAGAAAGGGGAGGATGACGAACCACCAGGGGGAATGCAAGGAGGGTGAAAGGGATGAGCGGGAGAAGGCAGTGGATGAACGGGAAGAGTTGCAGGAGGAGTGCGACGAGGAGGGGGAAGACGATGGGTGGAGGGACGAGGAGCGGAAGGAGGAGCGGGAGCAAGACAAGTAAGAGGAAAGGGAGGAAGAGAGACAGACATCGGGCAGTTTTTTTTCCCATTTTTTTGGGGGGGAGAGAGGTTGGGAGCAGGAAGAGGTGTGCTACAGACCCCTCCATTTCCCTCTTCGTCTCTCCTCCACCCTCTTCTCTCATCCTCTCTGTTGGGCTGTGAGCGGGGGCAACACGAATACGGGAGCAAGACGAATACGAGGAGGAATGGGAGGGGGCAGAGCAGGAGGAACCGAAGGAGGGGCAGATGTCAGACATTTTTTCTTTTCTTGTTCTCTTACGGGAGGAGGGGCAGAACAGGAGGATGAACGGGAGGAGCGGTAGATGTCGGGCATTTGTTTTTCTTTTTCTTTTTCTTTGGGGCAGAGATGGGGGTCAGGAAGAGGTGTGTTGCGGGCCCCTTCATTTCCCTCTTCATCTCTCCTCCATCGTCTTCTTTCGTCCTCTCTGTAGGCGTCAATCTTTTCTTGTCCTCTTACGGGAGGGGCAGAGCAGGAGGATGAACGGGAGGAGCAGTAGCTGTCGGGCATTTCTTTCTTTCTCTTTTTCTTTGGGACAGAGATGCAGGAAGAGGTGTGTTGCGGGCCCCTCCATTTCCCTCTTCATCTCTCCTCCATCGTCTTCTTTCGTCCTCTCTGTTGGGCCGCGGCAGGTCCGACTTGTTTTTTTAATGAGAAACTAAGCTGTATTCTTCTCTCAACATGCCTACCACTACCTACCTAACTAGGAATGATACACACCTTGATCTGCCCTCTGGTGGCAAGCTACACTAAGGGTTATGGGTTGAGCCTATCCCCTCAGGGTTGAACCTAACCCCTGGCAACGGGTGGCATTCCCCACCAACCAACCAGGAGGGGCAAGCTGACTATCTCAGCTGCTGAAAGCGCAGCGCATCTCAGGAGATGTGGGAGCTCGATTTGGGGACTGCGGGGAATCGAACACACCACCTCCTGAATGCCACTTTCATGCTCTACCAACTGAGCTAGGAAGTTTGTTTGTGCGGCCAGGCCACCAAGCGGTGCCCGCGCACAATCCCAGACGCCAGGCCGGGCATGACCCCTGCCATTCAGATTATGAGCCTGACGAGTTACCAATTACTCTATCCCGCGCGCGTAGTATTAGTATGGCTCTTCTTTGCACAAGAAATTGATAGGTCCGAGCTTGAACCATGTCTCCCAAAATAAATCAGTACATATGGCGTAAGACGATTTCACGGATCGAGGTCGCAATGGGATCGGGTGTTTTCACGTCCCCGGCAGCCCCAGCACCGACATAAATGTTGTGGAAAGAATGTGTTTTAGGAATATCGATGCTGACGACTTTTGGCTGAGGGTCAGCTCAGAATTCCTCACTGAAATGGAGATGTAAAATAAAATAACAAATTCAGACGAAGGCGACCCCCTTGAAACTCCTATTGCCCTTTGAAAGCTGAAACCCATTTATAGTAATTTTATACCCCTTTCCCCCCTTAACCAACAACACCGAAAAAAAAAAGAGCCCGGATTTGTCCTCCTCTAGGCCAGCACGGGAGACCCCCAGCAGGCTTTATGCGCCCCGGTAGCCCGGGCTGCAGACCTCCAGGAGGCGACGCCCGGCCACTCTGGGAAAACTTCCTAGTATTTCACTATTTTAGTATTTTTCTATTTTTGTGATTTTAATAATTGAAACTTGGTTCTGGTAAGGAATTTGAAAGTGCTTGCTCCATTCTTACGTCACATAATTTCATCCTGATCTTCACATTTGTTTACCTTTTTGTTTTTTTTTGAAGATTTTGTACTATGGCTGGACAGGACCTTGCGTGGACCTGGCCCGAGCAGGTTTCCCGGTTGGACTGGTCAGTAATCACCAGCCCCCTGTTGGCTGGGATTTCAGTTGCCGAAGCGCGGTTTGACCGAAAAAGCGCGACAAGAATGGTGCTTCTCCCGGGATATGAAAATGTTTTGTGTCCCGAACGAGCCTGGGTCGACACTTGGTACACTAGCTGTGCCAGGCAAACTAAAAGGAGTTGACGGACGGCTGGGCCAGTCGCCATCAGACCAAAACCGACGTCAGTCCCACTAAAGTTCAGACTGTCAGATCCAATGGCAGTTCGGTATCACAGTCGAGCTGAATATGTTATCTCACCTGTTCGCCAGCTTTGCGAAATCATCCTCCTCGTCGTCCTCCTCTTCACCATCTGATGGGGCCGTGCTCGGTCGTGTCGAAGTGGCCGACTCTTTCCCAACTCCTGTTGCGATTGCGTCATACCTAGCCAGCACTTTCTGCAAATCATCATTTAAGGACAAGGCTTCAGAAAGAAGCCGTTCATCGCCACTGCCACTGCAAACATTTCAAAACATGCAACACACCAAAATTAATTTTTCCCCAGCTGTCCTTCGGGACATCTGTTAAAATTGGAACAATACAGAGGAAGAACAAAAAGGAAAGGAAAAAAAAACAAACAGAGAAGAAAGAAAAAAGAATAGAAAAAAAGAGAGAAAAAGCTTTCCAAAACAAAACAAAAAAAAAAGTATTTTCTGGCTGAAAGCCTCTTTGATGCAAGCAAACAGATACCTGGAGAAGTAAATGGGACGCTTCGACATCAATTCGCCAATCACTGAAATCAGGCTTGCACAAGGGAATCAGTTAATGGCCACTAGGTTCCCTCAACACAAGGCGGTGTCAAATCACAACTGCCAAAATGTGCTGGGAAAGAAGAGTCCCACCTACCAGTGCTCCACAAAGTAGACAGCCTTCCTCTGCCAGAGTTTACACTGTTCTACAAGCTCCAGAATCAACTCGTCCCTAATGCCCTGTGTTGAGCACGGAGAGATTCACCAAGAAACAAAGCAAAATTGGTAGTCAGACGACTGCTGGAGCGGGGGATGCCGCAAATCCGTATCAAGCACAGAGAGATTCACCAAGAAACAAAGCAAAACCGGTAGTAAGACACCACTGTTGAAGCAGGGGATGCTGCAGATCTGTCAACTCTCATCATAACTAACCCTTCCTGTGGTAGATGTACACACCCACATGCAACCTGCACCTTCAGTCTTCCCCCCAATAGAATGTCCAGTCGTAAATAAGTACATAAAATATTTCCTTGATTATTGCCCGTACTTGGGGCCACTTTCAGTCTAGATACTGCGATAACGGCCATGCGCCGTAGATAAGGAGATGCACGCGAGCAGCATAACAAGAGATGCATACATGCACAAGTTGCGTCCTAGAAACACTCTTTACGAAGGGGAAACCATCGATGAACACCTTCGAACTTCAAAACAATGAGAGGCAGTCAAACTGTCACATAAGTCTTAGAGCGAGAAGAGCTAAAATCAAACTGCATCGACCATCAACTGCGACTTTGGAAGCAAGAAACACCAAGGGTTTTAGGGTTAAGGAGTTCTAGGACTTTGCTCCCACAGACATAAGATATATGATGGGAATGACAGAGTCATTGCGTAGCCCATCACAACAACTCATGCAATGTTTGCAGTCAGAATGAAAACCTGTGTCTTCTTCGGGACATCCGTTAAAATTGGAACGATACAGAGAAAGAAGATGAGCATGGCCCCAGTGCAAGGATGACATGCATAAATTGAGACGAGAAACAAAGACGAGAGACACTCTGCTAAATGGAGTTGCTCTGACCCTCATGGAAAGACATTTATACTACGAAATGCGCTGTATGCATGTATGAATCTGAGTTCTAAACAAGAACACACTTTATGCAACCCATGTTCGCACCGGGTGCAGAGATCGGTTATGTACAATGCACCCACTACACGTGTGCATTATAAAAACTTCTTAAAAGCCACCACAGGAAATGCACCCACTATGTGTTTGCATTCACAAAATCACCCCAGGGACCGCTTCTCCATCCGGATACATAGATCTCACAATTGGGGCACTATTGGGGCATACTCACACTATGGCTTTTTTGACTCGGTTCTGGACTTGATTACGTCCAGATGCATCTGGGTCTCTGGCCGTAATGGCAGTCACATACATTGGGGGAAGTGCTAGTGTGAGCATGAATGCCCTTACCGTGTGGATATTTTAAAATGATTATAATGTTTCAGTGAAACGGCTGTTTCACTGGTGCAATTTGAGCGGCTAAGTCGAGCCGTGTCCGTGTAGTTGAGCATTGGATGCCTACACACCAGTTCCACTTTTCGGCACACCTGCGCCTCACTCATTCCCTGGTCTATTAGCTGTGTTCACTGGTAAGCATTTAGCAGTCGTGCACGGGGAATAGGAGGAGAGATCTCTCTCTCCCTCACACAGACACACACACACGCACACACACACACACACACACACACACACACACACACACACACACACACACACAAGCTTCTCCTTACGAGCTTCCCCCCTGCCCGTCGTTTCATGCATCGTGTCACCCCTGCCTTTCGTTTCATCATCGTTTCACCCCTGCCTGTCGTTTCGTCGTAGTTTTGCCCCTGCCTGTCGTTTCGTCGTTGTTTTGCCCCTGCCTGTCGTTTCGTGTGCCGTGCCCCAAGAAAAGACGAGAAAACACAAAAGAGAGGTGCCCAGAGAAAATTGCGGCCCATCCGCCCACCCATACGAAACCCGGTGTGAAAATGCGTGCGGGCCATCGGATGGACCGTTTTCCACCAGTTTGTTCACAGCGCTCCAGTTAACGAGGTGAGGGCAGCTATGTGCTTGGTGTGTTATAAGAGTATTGCTTATTCTCTTTGTAGCCAATTAGGTTATATGGTATTGCTTGTGGTATCTCCAATTATTCTGTGGGTGTACTTCATCTGAAGAACCAAAGCATTACTTTTTTTTTTCTCTTCTGCCGAACGAAGTACTTACACCTCACCTCGGGTTCACTAACTCCCCGTTCAACAGGCAGTTGACGAGAGGTTGCAGTCTGGACATATCCGCACTGATTTGGACACGACCAGTTCCCAGACCTTTGTGGACTCGACGCACAAGTCACTGATTCGGACACGACCAGTTCTCAGACCTTTGTGGACTCGGCCTGTTCTGGCCTGGCACAGGTACCCTCTCTCTTTCTTTCTCACGGACACCAAGGGACAACAGAAAAGAAATGAAAAAGACGTGGTGACCAAAATAACCGAATTAAGAAAAGGGCACGGAGGAAGGGAGGGAGGGTGACGAACAGGGCAGGTAGGCAGGGATGGTGATGAACAGGGCAAGGAGGCAGGCAGGTCGACGAAACGGGCTAACCTGAGCTGGTTGTATCTACACCTCTCTAAGATGGCTTGATATCTTGTAACATAGAAGAGAGAGAGAGAGAGAGAGAGAGAGAGAGAGAGAGAGAGAGAGAGAGAGAGAGAGAGAGAGAGAGAGAGAGAGAGAGAGAGAGAGAGAG